ATCGGACCAAAAAACCATACAATTTTTTAGTCAATTTCACTACGATTTTTACGGTCATTAGTTTTGTGAAATATTAAAATATTTCATTTGTGCGCAATTTATAAAGTCATTAAATTGGCCAACCATTTCGTCACCTGTGTATTGCGGGCGAAATACTAATAAATAGCATAGAGGCATATCATGTATAATAAACCTAACACAAACCACAAAAAAAAAAAAAAAATTAAAACTCGAACTTCAATAATACATTATCAATATATATTACTAATAAATAATACAGACCAAACGCTATATCAGACTTGGTACAGAAATTTAAGCCTAAAGACAACAAAACAAGTACAACGTTGCTTATTTTTGTTATTATTACAATTTTATGTACATTTTTCAAATTGTTGTATAGTAATTTATTTACAAGATGTAAAAATAATAATAATAATTGTAATAATAATTATAATAATAATAATATAATAATGATCATAATAATAATAATATTTATAGTAATAATAATAATAATAATAATAAAAAGATAATAATATTTAATAAAAAAAGTTGATGAAAAAAAACCGATTCTGGCTTACAATTAATATAATATGATCTTTTTTTTTTTTGTTTGAGCTGTAAACCTTAAAAACACTACAGAAAAATAATACAATAATAATAATATTATCATAACACTGCATCCGTGTCGGATTCAATGTTATCGAATTCGCATGCACAGCAGGAAAACAATAGATTCTCCGGCCGGCACGGTCGTCAGCCTATACGTAGTGTTAAATTTTAATATTTATAGGTGTTTTCATCAACAACGAAAAAATTATAATAATAATAGTAATAATAATAATCATAAAAAAAAAAATAATCATAAAAATACCGCGAATTGTGATCGGGTCACTGTATTTATAAAATTAACTTAAAATAATATGTTTTAGATGAAATAATAACCACTAATTGCTTGTTGCATATTTTTTTTAAAATTAATTTTATCGTTTCGGAGAAGTTATCGAAGTTGTTATCTTTTATATATATATAATGTTTTATATATTATCCCTTAAAAATATATACCCTATTTTATATTCATTTTTATCTCCAGAATCACTTAATCACGATACAACAATATTTACATATATATATTTTTTTTATACAAATTATTATTATTTTATTCGATTTTGTATTTGTTTATAATATATATATATTGTAAAAACATATAATATATATATTATAATTACGCATTTATATATATATATATTATATATCATAATATATTATATATTTAAAAATATTAATTAAAATTGGGAAACAATGGCACAAAAACAACTCGGTTCGTCGTAAATGGCAAGAAACATATTATGTAATTGGGGCTCATCGGTGTGTATAGAAGGCAAAATATACACATTAAAATGTTTTAAAAAATCACACACACACACATATGGTTGAGATTGTTGGTCAGGAAATCAAAAAGATAGGAAACTTCACGACTCACAGCCAAAGAGTATAAGAACGAACGACATTCTTGTAAAAATAATAATAATAATAAATCACACTAAATCATTGTGAACAGAGTAAAAATACAACTATGGAAAAAATGTCAATAAACGTCGGCACGGTGGACGTGTACGCGATTATAATAAAAACTCAATAAAAACAAAAAAACACAAAGAAACACGACTGGATCACGTTACAATAATATTATTATGATGATGGTGTTCTATCGATCGCACGTCATAATTTTGCGTTAGGCATTACTACAGTGTCCCTACCCAGTACCTACCTGTTATTAAGTTGTATTGTGTGTTTGTTTTTTGTTGTTTTTTTCTTTTTGCGCTCTCCGCGGCCAATTGCACCATCAGCCCGCGAGTGGATGATCGCACTGCAACGAGCATATCGTACGATTGACTGAACCGCAGACTTTAAGTATATCGTTCTACCTATTACGATACGGACAGCGATATACTTAACGTCTACACGTTCAGGGCGGGAACACAAAAAGAAAAAGAGAATAAAAACCAACGGGTTAGACGGAATCTTATTGTATAAATCGGAAAAACAGAAAAAAAAAAAAAACAATAATAATGATCTTGCACCGGATCATGACGGGTGGTGGTTATATAGGACCTCCGAGGGAGGTGGTTTCGGCCAGTACTTTCAAAATCGGTTTTCGTGTACCTATATACCTATCGACAATAATATTTTAAAAATACCGTATAATATAACGCTCGGTAAAAGCGATTCTCGTGAGGCCGCAACCCCACGTAAAATCACTGTTACCGAGTTTATATAATTACAGTACCTACGTCTGCAGTATATTATATTATGGGTACTTGCGCCATAAAATACAACGCTAGATTAGACGCGAACATTACTGTCGATAAGCGAAGAGATAACCGAAAACTCGAGGCGTAAAACTTTAGTTTGATAACCAATAATGGTAGATATTATAGAGGTGATGCAAAAAAAAAATGATATAATATAATATAATATTATTGTCTTTCGTATAGGCTGCGTGAGTGTCGACAGCTAACGTAAAACAATACTATTATATCATAATTATTATTGCTCTATTAATGTTATTATTATTCGGGTGATAGGTACCTACGTCATGGTAATAGTATATTATGCAAACTCGTGTAAACGGCGAGAGTGAAAAGTCGTCGTCGTCGTTGTAGTTGAAATCGGATATTAGCCAGGTGACTATGGATGATGGGTATTAATGGACGATGACGAATATTGTAAATAGTGTTATATTAAATTATTGAATAGAGGCGTCTCGGCGTCTCGGGATCAGCCGATCCGGTCGGGTATATTTCTGCAGTAATTTTATCGGAAACGAAAATGATTAACACGAAACGGACAAACGAGACGAGAGCACACGCTTTTGCCTCGAGTTTTTATCGTCTTGCCGGAAAGCGATAAAAGTTATTAAAGTGATAAAAACCGGAAGGCGACGTGTGCAGTGAGAGAAATTTTGGGTCTCGAAAGAAAAAATGCTCGAACAGGTGATACGACGACGACGACGACTTCGATACCCATCACTTACAATCGCGTTCGCCGGTGTTTGACAACAAATCGCCGAGGTTTAAGGCGGTTTGTTTTGTGTTTGCGTGTAAGAGACACACCTTTCACGCCCCGCGTCTAACGATCTCGTTTGAAAATCGGGGGAAAAAAAAAATAAAGTAATAAAACACATCACTAATTGAATACAACATATTACATATAATAATAATAATAATAATATAATGTATAGGTATACATTTACACATTATTTGTGTTCTGCGTCTCTCTCCATCTCCCCGGGCGTCGGCGGCGGCGGCGTCGGCCAGAGGAGAGGATGACGGGTAACCAGTTTTTTTTTCATTTTTATTATTATTATTATTATTATCGTGTTTTATTCCCTTTTTTTTTATTTTTTATTATTCCGTTTGTTTTACCGGATTACGCGCCGTAGGTCTGTGTGCGTGTTGTCTGACCGTCGATGTTATCGCACACAATATAATATAATATAATAATATTATAATATACCTAACGATATTATATGTATAGTGTTGTGAATGTAGCACACGCTGCAATTATAGCGAGCGGGTGAGTCCTCATAATTTATAATATTATTTATTATATTGAAATATCTATGGATATTTTGACGGGGCCTGCACCGCCAAAGAAGGTTTTGTGTTTTCGTAAATTTATTGTTGCTGTGTACATGTATTGTACACACACACACGGGAAGGTATGTATACGACATTTTAATTGACGTGCGATCATAATAATATAATATTATCATATGAAATACTACTGCGGCGATGTCGTCGTGATGAGGAATTCGGAGGGTAGGACGGATTTCGATATACATGGAGGGGCATTTTCTCGTTTTTGAACATTACAAATTACAAATTTTTTGTATGACATGTATGTGTGTGTGTGTGCGTTTTTATTTTCGATTTTAAGTTTATGGCACAATTTCGGACGGCTCGGCCGAAACACTATGATAATTATTATATCGTAGGTATTAATTAGGTACCTATAAATAAAAATTGTTCGCTTGCGCGCATTTTTCGCATAATATTATAATAATATTAATATATTACACCTAATGTAAATATATTGTTAGAGGTGTACGCTGGGGGGCCGGCGGTATAGTTTTGTTTAAGTTGTTTTCTTTTTGTCAAGAAAAAAAAATACACTTTTATGTACAAAGCAAATGTATAGATACATAAAAGAGTCGTTTCGTGTGCGTTCGAATCAAAATTGTACCCGCGGCGGGTGATTATGGGAGGAATCACGCGTACTATTAAATATCGCAATACATGCATAATATAATGGATATTATGCACGTTGATTTTCGACACGTCTTTGCACATAATAACAATAACGGAAAAATATTATCAATTATTACACAGGAGACTAGACGAAAATGTCATCGGTTTTTAGTTATATTTTTTTTTTCGTTAAGCGGAGTTATTTTCTCATTTTTTTTTTTTACAAATTTCGAGGACATTGGTTTTTTTTTATGATAAATAATATTATGGTTCACGCGGCCGACACGCGTTTATGTTTTTCAAAAACAATCAATTGTAAAATAATCAAAATTATAAATTTAAAAAAAAGATTGGAAAAAAATAATCGTCATTATGCTGACACATCTACTACTTGCGACTTGGGCAAGTATAACACATAAAAAGTTATGGTAATCGTTATTATGACAATGTTTTTTATAAAAAAAAAAATCTTAAACGGTGGGAAAAATATCGCGGAACAAAACCAATGTTTTCCCGCCGTTTGCGCTGGTTAAATGTATATATAATAAGTTTTTAATAATTTTTTTTTTGAATTTTTTATCGTTTTTGGTTTTTTTTTTATATGGCTTACATGAGCGCGCGGCGCTGTCCATCGTGGGCTGTCCGTGCAGTCGGCGCTCGTGGACGTTGAGGAGAATGATGTCGACGGCGATGCGGAGGAAGCTGCTGCGGCATGTAAACGGTTGGCTGGCAGGCTGGCCGACGCGTCGTTTACATGTGATGGCCCAAGTGGCCCATCTGGAGATCGGGCGACATGGAGTGCGGGTGGGCCTGCTGCACGAGGTTCTGTTGCTGGCTGTGCGACAGATACGGGTGGCTGTGGCCACCGGGCTGCTGGTGTCCCTGGGCGGCAGCCGGCAGCCTGGACTCAAGCGGCATGTACATGCGTAGCAGATCGTTGCCACCCAGCTGCTGCTGTTGCTGCTGCTGTTGCTGTTGCTGCTGGTGCAACTGCTGTTGCTGGCACAGCCTAGGACTGGGCGAGTGTCCTCCCGACTGGACGGGTGGCGAGATCCTCTCGGACTTGATGCTGTCCGGGCTGTGAGACGTGGACGGCGGCCCCTGCTGGTACTGGTTCATGTCCGAGTACAGGTTGTAGCTGCCGTTCAAGTAGTGCATGGACGCGGCCGCTGCCGCGTTATTGTTCATCTGCGGCATGTCGTACCGGTAACTCGCGGCGGCCTGAGAAGCGGCGGCCATGTGAGATGCATAAGGCGACGGCTGTTGCGCGTACGGATTCGGGTCGTGGTGCATGCCGAAACCGCCGTTGGGCATGTAGCCGTTCATCTGGTGGTACAGATCCCGGCTGTTGTTAAGCTGCTGCTGCGTTACTCCCGATACCTGAGCAACGGCGTTCCGGCCTCCCACGGAGTTGTCGCACGGCTGTCCGCCGGCACCTCCCAGGGACAGTGGACCTCCACCTCCCGGTAGCGGATACTTTTCCTTCTTCATCAAAGTCTTTGTCTTGCGCCTGGGTCGGTACTTGTAGTCTGGGTGTTCCTTCATGTGCACGGCGCGCAATCGCTTGGCCTCGTCGATGAACGGCCGTTTCTCCGTCTCGGTCAGCATCTTCCACTCGCTACCCAGCCGCTTGCTGATCTCCGAGTTGTGCATCTTCGGGTTCTCCTGGGCCATCTTGCGGCGCTGTCCACGCGACCACACCATGAACGCGTTCATGGGCCGCTTGACGCGGTCCACGTTCTGGTTTTTGTTGGCCGACGACGAGTTGTTGTTGTTCGGGGACGGCAGCTGCAGCTGACCGCCGACGACGTGTCCTCCTACCTGGTGATGGTGGTGAGCGGCCTGCATGTGTTGATGGTGCTGCTGTTGCTGCTGCTGCTGTTGTTGCTGCTGCTGCTGCTGTTGCTGTTGCTGCTGCTGCTGTTGCTGTTGGTGCAGCGCAGACTGTTGCTGCTGTTGTTGTTGCTGCTGTTGCTGTTGCGACGGCGGAGGCGACGACAGCGGCTGCTGTCCACCACCCTGCGGTCCGCCGAGTACGACGCCCGCGGACCCGATACCGGCCAACATGCCCATCTGGTTGAGGTTACCGTACGTGTGGCCCATGTGTGCGGAAGCATGGTGCACTCCGCCAGCCAACAGGCCGGAACAGTTTTTAATTTCGGCGTCCATTAGCATTTTATTTATCGTTGCAGCGGTCGTGTGCGGTCGGCGACGCGACTGCGGGTACGGAATATTGTCAATTATCGTCGGGTATTTACCGTGAGTGGTGAAGAACGCGGGCGACGGGCGCGCGCGACTGTGTCCGCCCGCGGTGGTGCGGCGGCGGCGGTGCGATTTCGTCGGCAGCTACTGCACGACCTGGTCAGATCAGCGGTGTCATCCACGAGAAAAGCACACGAAAAATTGAACGAAAATCTTTTTGCACCGTAAAAACGAAAAAAAAAAACGATAAAATAAAATATTATAATATTGTTGCGTACGGGTAAACGAAATAAACACTACGACGAATGCGGCGACGACGAACACGCGATCAACGCACGGACAAACGGTGTCATGTGTGTGGAGCGGCGAAAACACACGGCTGCGGTGACGGAGTATGGAGACACACGCGCGCGCGAGAATTTTTAACAAACAGAGACCGTGGTGGCGCGCGTGGACGTGCGGAACGAGCGTTGAACGTGTACGACTGCCGTTGTGCGACTACGCGAACGGCTGAACGAGACTGGTGCGGCGCACGATACGTTCGCGGCGGCGGCTATGGCTGGACGGCGTGCCGGGGGGTTCCGCGCGCTCACTCTCCCCGCCAAGCCGCGCGCAGGTACGTATCGATTGTCGCACCGCCTCCCCGGCCAATCGGGTGCTGCGACGTCACGGCCGCTGGGCGGCCACCACCGGGTGAACCATATTTTTACGCGACCGCCGCGCACGCCTAACCTTCTTTCCGCACGACGAATAGCCCCCTCCCCTGCCACTGCAGCCGCTGAACCGTCGATCACCGCACCGCCGCACACCGGACGCGCGGGGGCCGGTTCCCCGCACCCCGCTCACCATACGAACGGTCCTCCGAGAGCGCGGACCGGGTTCGGGGTTAAAACCAAAATTTTGACGGCGGACGAAAAACGATGCGATTCTCCTCGCTCCCCACCACTCGACCTGCCGCAGTGTATTCGCCGGAAATTTTTGTGTCTGGAAACGGGATAAAAAATTTGCCAACAAAAGCCGCAAACGCTTTCCGCTGCCCGACCTTTGCGCGGCCACTACATAGGACCGATAGAGCAAAGAAATGGATAGACGATGCCTCAAATTCATTATATTATTGTGTTAGTTTTGCACTTTTGCGGTCCACCGGTCCAACATAGATAAGTAATTGAGGCCGTTTGTTTACATTTTTGTAGAGCATAGATATAAGATATGGTTATAATATATACAATATATATATATATATTAGATAATCAGATAATTGATATAGGTAATAGGTATACTTATAACATTATTTGGCTTCAATTAGTACAAATTCATTTATCACCGATAAGACGATAGGACGTAATGTCCTATCTATTTCTTTATTACCTGTGGGACCAAATGACTACATCTATATATACCTAGGTATAGGTATTAGGTACTTACCTATACTGCACACGAATAACCGCAGGCCCCGTCGAATAAGTCACACGTCGTCTGTTTATCACTGTTTATAATGTATACCACATTATTATTTTTGTTGTGCTCTTTTCGCATCATTTTACAATATTCGTATAAACCTTTTGCAGGTATGTTAAAGTTCTCGTGCATATACCTATACATTATAAACTGCAGCCTATATATTATTATTCTGTGTGCGATTATCTACCAATATATTATGCGCCAGACGCTTTGTGGCGCTCGCGTTATAACATTATTACTGTGAATTATCGTTATTATACTATTATATATGTATACACGCATTATGATATAATATAATAATGCCATGAAAAAAGGGTCTCTTCTAGTCCTCTTTATTATGGCTGTATATATATATAGCACAAGGTCATAGGTCAACAAAGTCTGTACACGCGAGTGTGATGCCGGAAAAGTATACATATTAGGTATATATTACAAACATGATACATATATATATATATATTATATAAGTACACAATGTACCTATATTTACACATCAACAGATCACACACACACTCACACACACACACACAATGCCTATGCGGATATACCTATAAATATAGTTGTATACGTTTACAATAATACATATTGTACCTATATATACACACGACCGTAAACCTGCACTGGCGAGTGCATTATTATCTCACCGCATAATGTTTATTATAATATACACACATAGGTGCATATTGTATACCTATACAGCGCACATAATAACGCGTAACGGGTAACCTTTTATACTTCTATAACTGTCTGTAATACATAATATACGAGTGCAGAATTTCTGCAGTGCACCGAGGGCACACGCAGCTATATACCGGTCCGCAATAGGTATGTTATAAACACTATAAAGGTATAATAATATAACAAATAATAATATATTATGTTGCAATGCATGCAGTACAAACCGCGATGCAGCCAATATGTAACAGTATATTATATATATGATGAGTTTACCGCCATAATGCAGTTTTACGACATACCAGTTAGTATATTATAGGTATATTAGGGACTGGAACCTTTTGAATTTATATCTAGGTATAGGTATTCTGGTACTGGTTCTCCGAAAATAAGATAACTGTTCCGGTTCGGTTCTGGTTTTTCGATAAAATAAAAAATAAATAGGTATCGTTTCCAAATAATTTGGGTACCGGTTCCAGATAACTTAGGCACCGATAAGTTTAATAATTTTAAATACTTATCCGGAATGATGGTTTAATATAATAGTATGAGAAATATTAGAAACCTCATATATATGACCCCATACATAGTTTATACACAAAACAGTAATATAGGTACCATTAAATTATGATATACAATTATTTTATTTTTAGGCCTATAAAAGAACCTATTTAAATTTAAAAATGACATTTTCGTTCCGGTACCCGATTTGTTAAAATAAAGGTTTCTGTTTCCGGTTCTCAATATTTTAAAAGTTCTGGTTCCTAATATTTCAAAGTTTCCGGTTCCAAAACCGGTTCTTCTCGGTTTGGTTCCAGTCCCCGACCTTTATGTTGTGCTCACTTTTCGTAAATGCAGTATATATGCAAAAGTTTTTACCAAATATAAAAAATAAATAACTAAAATAGGTATATATAAACATGAACGATTTTGAAAATGAATCCACGGATCAAATTTATTACACTATGAGATAAAATGTTTTATTTATACTTTTTTAAACCATTCTTATAACTAACATTGTATTAGGTATAATATATTATTGTATATTGGTTCATACAAATACAGAAATATACAATACTGTGTTATCGATTAAATTGTGTTTAGAAATGTGATATAAGACCACTGAGGCACTGAGCTGTTAATAATTATATTGTTACCAATTGATTTATTGTTTAGATATCGCATAGTAATTATTGTAAATCAGCTATCCACATTATAATATATTCGTATTTGAGAGCGTGTTTATATTATAATCTCTATATATATTTTGGCAGATCGATGTTAAGTGCACTAAATTAATAAATAGTAATAATTGTGTAAAATGTAAATAATAATAAACAATTTTAGAAAATGCGTCTTTTTGTAGGATATATTATAATGTCAAATGTCCTCAGTGTGGCTGTAGCGAAACATCAAATAAATTAATATTCAAACGAATAAAAAGCGGATATTTTATTTGTATTTTTTTGAGTAGTCGGGTAGACCGTATTTTTTGTTTATTTATTTATTATTTTTTTTTTTTGAGGAAACTACGGGTTCTATAATACACAAGGCTATATCTAAATTCTAAATAAGTAATTACAATCATACATTTTTTATTCGACGGAAATTGTATATTTCCGAGTGGTATGGGGTCAAAAAAAAAAATTAAATTAAATAAAAAAATATACTGGTGGATGTATATTACGCGCCGTCGAGTCCGCCCGAGGTTTAAGCCGTACAAATAACGCTTTTGTACTTCACAATAGAATGACCCATTAAAAAAATAATATATATATATGTATAATATTTCCCCAACTTTTACCGTTCAAGGCACACAATTTATTGTTAAAAATAAAAAAAAAACATAAATCCTAATGGAACATCTTAATAAAACACAGCTGGACGATCCAAATGTAGTTGGACTCGGAGGTAAACAAATACATTAAAAATAGCGGACATTTTTCTCACTCATTGCAGGGTGTAAGCTGCAGGGTGTAAGTTGCTGTTTTCTAGGTCGGGGGAACGGGTTAGGTGTCGACTTATTAAAATGGAAAGCCTTTTACCATGTAAATTATTGGTACTTACTTTTCGAGTGAACTTGAATTATTTAGAAAAAAATAATCATGTACCTATGTATATTTATGGTAAAAACAATTAGAGTTAAAATTCTGATCTCGTTAGAAATATGGTGCCTAAAAATATAATATTATATTATATAGTTGATATTTGATATTATTATACAATATATATTATACTTATGCTCTGAAATGTTGGTGTAAAAACAATAATGACTGTATGTCTGTATAGACAGTAAAATATTTATTTGTATGTACCTAAATATTATTTTCTTATTTCGTATAATACATAATAGTTATAGCACATTATATTATAATTTGCGGTTTGCAACCACGCGAGAGCTTATATACTCTATCCTTCTCTACCCCGTGGAGCCATCGACTGTCTATATTAATTATTAAACCTACGTAAGTAGCGCTATAATTGAAATTATTGCACATTTTTTACATCTTGAATAAAACATATTATATACATTTTACATTTCAATCATATAAATATTTTACAAATATTACTAAAAATATTACTAAAAATACTTTATCTATAATAATATTCTATATAAATTTAACAACTTGCAGGCTGCCGAGGGTTTTTTTTGGAAAACTTTAATTGATTGCCACGAGACTTCATAATATTATAGTTCGTACATTCCTGATTTTTTTTTTTAATTTTATCCATTTTATGTACAAGGAAGTAACTTTTTATAACTATAATATTATGTAAATTACATGAATTGTAAGAAATCATTATATTTATATTTTTGATAAAATTAATAAGAATAT